ATCTATCTATCTATCTATCTATCTATCTATCTATCTATCTATCTATCCATCCATTCATTTATCCATCCATCCATCCAGAAGAAAGTAGGCAATATGATGTTTTGGAGGGAAATCTTTTATTTAATACAAATATAGGCTTCCTTGATTATTTTTTTCCCAAAGGGTGGAAGAATCTTCATCGCTTTCATCCCTGGAAGCTTTTGAGAAGAGACTGGACTGCCATCTGTCCAGAAATGGTGTAGGGTTTCCTGCTTTAGTGGGTGGGGGGGGGGGGGGTTGGACTAGATGACCTACAAAGTCCCTTCCAAATCTGTTAATTTGTTATTTGGGATCTGCATCCAGGGTCAAAGTCAGCCACTTCTATTATGGTGCCATTACAGGTTCTAAAATGATTGTAGATGTCAGATGAGGAACACAGCCTGATCTATGGGGCCCAAAGATTGTGAAGACGTTCCTTAGAACATGGGTCTCCAAAGTTGGCAACTTTAAGACTTGGGGACTTTAACTCTCAGGATTCCTCTGGCTTATTTCATAAAATAAGGATGGCTGGCGGTCCACTTATGCCAAATGTTGTCCTTGCCTTTTTATTATTTCACTTATTTAATTCTTGTCTGTCTGTTTTTCTTTCTTTTGTAGTTCATAGCAGCCAACGACAAGCTATGGTTTTGGCTGGAAGTAAACTCTGTGGTTGATTTTTTCACTGTTCCTCCCGTGTTCGTTTCTGTGTATTTAAATAGAAGTTGGCTTGGTAAGTATACAAAATTGCTGTTTTGCAATGTATATGTGAGAAAGAAAATACAGGTAACTTACAACCCTTCTTGGGACCAGAATTGATGTTGCTAAAACAGCTCATCAGACGAGCCACACCTGAAGTTACATGTCTGTTGGCTATTGTTATGTGAATCAATATAGTTGTTTAATGAACCAAACGGTAATTAAGCAAATCTGGATTTCCCCATTGACTCTGATTGTCAGAATCCCTCTAGGAACATCCAAATAATGATGACATGAACACCACAACTGTTGTAAGTACACACAAGTGCCCAAATAGCACTAGCAATAGCCCTTAGGCTTATATACCACTTTACAGTGTTTTATGGCCCTCTCCAAGCAGTTTACAGAGACAGCCTGTTACTCTGAACAATCTGAGTCCTCATTTTACCCACCTCGGAAGGATGGAAGGCTGAGTCAATCTTGACCTGGTCAGGATCGAACTCCTGACAGTTGGCAGAGTTTGCCTGCAATGCTGCTTTCTAACCACTGTGCCAACCATAGCCCTTCCTTCCTTCCTTCCTTCCTTCCTTCCTTCCTTCCTTCCTTCCTCTTTCCTTCCTTCCATCCTCCCTCCCTCCATCTCATTTCCTTCCTTCCTCCCTCCCTCCTTCCCTGCCCATTTCCTTCCTTCCTTCCTCCCTTCTTCTCTGCTCCTCTCCTCTTTCTTCCCTCCCTGCCCCATTCCTTCTTCCTTCCTTCCTTCCTTCCTTCCTTCCTTCCTTCCTTCCTTCCTTCCTCCCTCCCTCCCTCCCTCCCTCCCTCCCTCCCTTTCTTTCAACTTAGCAATAACACTTAGACTTATATACCACTTCACAGCGCTTTGCAGCCCTCTCTAAATGGTTTACAGAGTCAGCCTGTTGTCCCCAACAATCTGGGTCCTCATTTTACCACCTTGGAAGGATGGAAGGATGAGTCATCCTTGAGCCTGGTGAGATTCAAACTACCAAATGGCAGGCAGCGGTTAGAGTGCAGTACTGCAGAAGTAGCCTGCAGTACTGCACTCTAACCACTGCGCCACCACGGCTCATTTTGATCACATGACCTTGGGGATTGCCGCAACGGTCATAAGCATGAGGAATGGTTGTAAGTTACATTTTTTTAGTATCATTGTAATTTCAAATGGTCGCTAAACAGAAGGCTTGTAAGTGAAGGACTACCTGTAGAAGAGAAAATGGCCACTTGTAAGATTGTGAAGCGATGTTTCATGGGAAGTGACTAGCCTGTCCTCTGAACTGATTCCAGGAGAATTTCAAGAAAAAAAATTGTGCAGTCCTTTTTTCTAGGATGGTGTGAGGTTTCCTGCCTGGGCTATATAACCTCTAAGATCCCTTCTAACTATATGATTGTGTGATTCTATTACTCTGAGCATACTTTTCACTAATAACGTGCATTGCCATATTCTGAAAAATGCAGGCTCATTCAGATAAAAATTCAAAGTGAATGAAACTCTGCCTGTGGCAAACTACAGCTACTTGCAACAAAGAGATAGATGATTGTTTTCATTATATGATCTATCTTCCTGACACATATGCGTAATAAATATGGCTGGCAGGAAGATTTTAATGTTTATATGGGGGAGTTCCTGTGCTGGTGGAAGGAGACCTTTGGTATGGCTCAAATCTGTCTTTGTTAAGCTCATTTTCAGCAGCATTTGCCATATTAAGCTACTATGATGTGAGTTTCTCCTGATGGGCTGCCATTTGTTCATTTTCCTTGTGCCAGGAACTAAGAGTTGGATTAAGTTCTGTTCACTACCATGCTAAAACTGAGCATGGTAATTAATCATTTAATTAATTAATTAACTCAGTTAATCAACTGAGCATCAAATTAATCATTTTGTTAGGGTTAGGCAAGGAAGAATCCCAAATTTGTTTTAATTACATTTAAGTATTATTTAACATTGTGTCACTGGAATTCTCAAACTTTGGGGTATAATAACTTGCGCAGACCGAATAAGAAGTTAAGCTTGGAACAAATTTTGACAATGTTCTCATTGTATGTGTGCATGAGAGAGAGAAAGCGGGGGAGGAGGGAGAGGGAGAGAGAGGGAAAGAGGAAGAGAGGAAGGAGAAAATAAGAGATGGAGAGAGGAAGAATGAGAGAGGGAGGGAGAGTGGAAGGAGAGAATGAGAGAGAGGAAGAGAGAGGAAGGAGAGAGCGGGAGAGAGGAAGTAGAGAATGAGAGAGAGGGAAAGAGGAAGAGAGAGGAAGGAGAGAACAAGAGAGAGGGAGAGAGGACGAAGAGACAGAGGGAGGGAGGGAGGCAGAGAGGGGCGATCCTTTTATGGATCTCTTTGACCCTCCAGGGATTCAGGGATTTCCAAACCACAGTTTGTGTTGCTTAAGCATGGTGTGTGAACCCATCCAGGAGGAAATGCAGTTTTTGTATGGGCCGTTTCGTTCTTTCACAGCTATTTCATGGGTAAATCAGAGTAACATAATCCTGATATTTCCACTGAATTGTTGATAGTACTGCCTTTCTAAAACCAGGTGGATTATTTTTTTAAAATCTGAAATCTGGCAGAAACTCTTCCCCAACACTTCATTGTAGAATTTCAAACAGCTTTTAAAGAAGAAGAAGAAAGCAGGCTCAACCTTTTGCCAGCTAAAATAAAGTTGTGATGGTTATTTAAAACCCTGAAGAGGGACAGGGACACATGGCGATACTTGTAAGCTTCATAACTTTAATTCTGGCATTCGGTAACTTGCGGCTTCTCTCCTGTTGATTCCATAGATCTCAAATGGTAGAAATTGTCAAGATGTTTGAGGGTTTTTTTGGTCTTGTTTTTAGAGCTGTGTCCTTCTGCCCTCTCGTGGTCCTCTTGAAGCATGACCGCATCCTTACTCAAATGAGCTAGGTCGGGAAATTCATGAGGTGAAAATAATAATAATAAATAATAATAAATAAATAATAATAAATAATAATTAAATAATAATAATTTAATAATAATAATAATAATAATAATAATAATAATAATAATAATAATAATAATGAAAACCTGAACAGTTTCTAGGTCCTTGGTTAGGACTCGAGCTGTTGAGCTACCAACCAGCCCCAAAGGCTGTGAATCTCACCAAAGATATAATAATAATAATAATAATAATAATAATAATAATAATAATAATAAT